GAATCGTGAGATTTCGGTCTATTATGCTAGCTTAGATGATGTGCGGCGTATAAATGAGATGATTGTCGATGATGCATTATCATTTGAAGTAGCTACTGAGATCATGTTGAGCGATGACATTGAACCGCGTTCCATTGATGAATGTCGACGTAGAACTGATTGGTCAAACTGGAAACAAGCAATCCAAGTCAAACTCGATTCGCTTGCGAAATGTAAAGTGTTTGGACCTGCAGCTCCTACTCTTCCACATGTGAAACCCGTTGGCTACAAGTGGGTTTTCATTCGGAAGCTTAATGCGAAGAATGAAATTGTGCGTTACAAAGCTCGTCTTGTTGCACAAGGCTTCTTACAATGCCCTGGGATTGATTATGATGAAACTTATTCACCCGTTATAGATGTGATTACTTTTCGCTACCTTATCAGTTTGGCAGCTGATGGACATAGTAACTGTGTATCTCTATGGGGATCTTGATACGGAAATTTATATGAAAGTTCTTGAAGGACTTACATTGATTGGTTCAAATATTTCCAAACCCCGGAACACACTCTCAATTCGACTAAGACGTTCACTCTACGATTTGAAGCAATCCGGAAGAATATCATATAGCCGTTTAAGTGAGTATTTGACTATATGACATAGTCATAAAGTTCAAACCATTCAACCGAGACGGTTTATAAATCCTTCTCGACTACCTTAGAGCTTGTGGTATAGGAACTAGGTTGCTCTATCTTAGGCAAATCCTATGGTAGGATTATAATGAACTATCCAACAAACAACATTTGTTAGTTGGTTTATAGAAGTGATATCCAAATGTTAATTTAAGGATACCCACAAGATAATTTTCAAACAAATATTGCTTATTAGCACCCAACCCCAAATCTTAATACAATTAAGACTTGTCTTTCTTTCCAACTACATCCTATGGAGTCATGAAAAATTTTGGAAGATCTTCTAATTGACAATCATATTGTCTTAGAAGTATATATCCTATATATGGGTAATTGATAACATCTAACGAATTAAATCTTATTCGAGTTCGTTCTTCTCCTAATGGAGAAATTCATTATCTTATGATGCTATTTTCCTTGATATCTTTCAAGGAAACTCATCTAAAGTGTTACTTTTCCTTGGATCAAATCTAAGGAGGTAAATACTTTAGATGTCTTACTCATCAACTTACATTTCTTGAATTCTTTGAAACATTTTACAAAGTATTCGGACTTGTGTTTATTCAAAAATAAATTATAGTCCAACCGAGAGTGATCTTCGGTGAAGGTCATCCAACATGAGTAGTATTATGTTGTGGACAAGTGCCACTAACATCTAAGTGAATTAACCTTAACAACTTTGTGATTCTTTCTTCTTTCCAAAAGAATAAAGATTCGAACATTTCGACTCTATACAATTTTAACAAGAAGGTATTGGATCCGGATCTAACGATCCAAAGCATCCATCTATGACCAACTCGTAATTTATGTTTTAGAGGTATCACAACTCAGTTGGGATTAGTCACTATCTTGCAACCTTTTGGGTTTTAAGCATCATTATATTCTAAACAGTTAACAATATCATATCATCTCTACTATAGAGACAATCAATTAGATTACTATAATCCAATCATTGATTAATAAAGAACAATGTTTTGTCAAACAAAACATTCATCCATCTATACTATAGTGACGGAATTAAGTTCCTTAAAATTGGAATGTAAAGACAATCTTTGGTTTTTCCAATTTCTTTGGTAGTTCATATGAGGAAGTAAGTACTATCTGCTTTCGCAGAGATCTATATTTTATTCACGTTCCGAATGTGAAGCACCTTTTCTTCTCTCATATATCTTCTACTTCTTATTAGTCACACTTTTACAACGATTGTAAAACATAGTTGCTAATATGGAATCAAGCATTCAAGTAGAAGAACCAACTGTTTTGAACTTATTCAAGAACAATTTACAACACCTTCGAAAGGTGTGTTCTTGACACTTGCAAGACATTTCTTGCAAATACCCCTTCCAATGTCCATCCTTTCATAAAGAAAGTTTGTTCCCTTGGAGTTAATCACTACAAGAAAACAGGGAATATGTGACGGAATTTATGGTGGCGCCTAAAAATTCGTCATATATAACGAGAATAAGTGAGGAGATTTTAGAAAGCGTCACATAAAAAGTTTCACGGGACCAGTATGATTTTTTAGATTGTATGTGTCACATATAACTTTCAAATTCGCCACATATAAATGGGCGGGAATTTTTACCGCCTAAATGAAAGTTTATTGGTGACGAATTGTAGAATGCGTCACATAATGTTAAATAATATGACATACTCAAATGTGAGGCTAAAGATGCCTCACTGATTATATATAAAAAATTATTCGTAAAAGCCAAATATGAAAACTTAAAATAAAATAATTGAAGTTCTTCCACAGAGTCCACCTTCATATTCCTTCGGTTTTCTAAACAGAGAGTACCCACTCTCACTTTCGCCCCTTTTCACCCCACCCCTTCATCTCCCTTTTTTGCGCTCTGGTGGTTGCCATCATCGGCGACCACCCATCTCCCCTTCATCTCCCATACATCGCACCTTTTTTTTCCCCCATTGCACTCCGATTTGCCTCACTGCCCTGAGTCACTCTCCTCAACACCCAAATACTTGCATCTAACTTGGTGGCTGTAAGTGGGTAAGGTCTTACCTCATCTTAATTTTGTTTTAGGTTATGCACATAAACTTTTGTTTGAATGAACTATGGCAATTTATAGAAGCTAAACAGTATATTGACGGAAATCTCAATCCATTTGGTTTTATGCACTACATATTTGTGTTGGCCGTTTTCATACGAAAGCTGAAAGGGCTGTGTGATATCAGTTGATCTACCAACTGATTCATTTTAAAAAGAAAATCTATTTTGACATAATACCCTTGATAAGTTTATGACATATCTCTAGTTTTCCCTTACATTTTCTATAGCTATTTTCTTGTTTATCCATCGTGTTGCTTTTAATTTTACATAATAGTTTATCTGTCATGGATGTGTGAGCTTCCACGTTAGTTATCAAGCTACACACATTTATGCTATATATGATTTCAATGATATATGAAGTAAAGCATGTATGTAGTGTTGGAAATGATTATATTTGAGCTTCCATGTTCTTTACATGTGTTGACTAAAACCATTGCATTCACAATCTCTTGATCATCATTTTGTAATGCTTGTGATAAATCATTCATGATTCCCAATATAGATTTCATCAAAAATAGGAGAAACACAAACTCAAAAGATTGTATGTCTTGTATGCATTCAGCCATTGTGGAAGGCTTTGGCGAAGTATGCATCCATTACTATGACTGTGAGGGCAAATTTTTAATTGCAACAACGTCCTCCAACTATATTTCCTGCTAAGGAAAACCTAGCTCAAAATAATTGTAATACAATTTTAGAACTCTACTAAATTTAGGGTTGGCAGATCCACTTAAATTGAGATACTCTAAGTTTTGTTAAAGTTTCCAATGTGTAGGAGTGTAGTTTTGCATATTTGTTTTTAGCATCAGAGTATTTTAATTCTCACTCTCTCATTAGCAACAAAACAAACCCTTGACCTATATGTGGTGTGTTTTGTTGTGTGTTTTTAGGGAATCAACACGGAGAAGATACATTTTACAATACTTTGGAGAATAGAACGATCAGGTACCAATCTATATACTTTTTATTTATTTATTAATGCATACAATATTTCGAATTTTAGGATACAAATTTTATTAATTCTGTCACTTTAATAATATCATATGGCTTTTATGTATGCACACACACATCTTACGAAAGACATGTATCCTATCTTGTTGAAATTAATATATCTTTTCCCCGTTTATGTAAATTCCATATCTAGCTACTCGAAATTATTTTAATCTAAAACATATAGTGTTTAAAAAATAAGTTTTAGTAAGTTAATATTGTGTTAAAATACAGTTGGACATCATGGACGGACAATGGATTCGTAATCGGAATCTCCTTAGTTTGGAATATAGAGAAGGGGTCAAGTCATTCATTGACATTGCTCGTCATCATGTGAACCAGAATAATCAGATATCATGTCCTTGTAAAGTTTGCCATAACAGATTTTTTTCATTCTGTTGAAGATGTTCATCTTCATTTGTTGAATTCTGGTATGGATATGAATTATGATACATGGATATACCATGGTGAGCGGATTCATCAAGTGCAAGGACAAACTTCAAGATTTACGAATGACGAGCGGACTAGTAATCCTAATGGCAACATGGTCAATATGATTGAGGATGCATTTCAAATATTGGATGATAATGATAATGATCAAGATACAATGGGTTATCAAGATACATTGTGGAGTGATGAGGTGACTAATGCTCATAGGGTAGATTTTAATAACTATGAGAAGTTGTTTCATGAAGCTCAAATGGAACTATACCCTGGATGCAATGAATATACAGTTTTGACCTACGTTGTGGAATTAATTCACAACAAAGTTGACAACCATATGACTGACAGGGCAGTTGATAAGATGTTAGTAATGATGAAGAAGATGTGTCCCCAACTCAACCACGTTCCTAAATCATTCTATGAGTGCAAGAAGATATTGAGATGTCTTGGATTGGGGTATGAAAATATCCATGCTTGTTACTACGACTGTGCATTGTTTTATAAAGAACATGAAAAGAAAGATAGATGTCCAGTGTGTAATGAGCCAAGGTATAAGGCCAGTGCTTGTGAGCAAAGAAAGAAAGTTCCGAGAAAAGTATTGCGGTATTTTCCACTTAAACCAAGGTTGCAAAGGTTGTTCATGTCAAGACATACGAGCAAAGACATGAGGTGGCACAAGGATAAAAGAGTCAATGATGTGAACACAATGAGGCATCCGGCAGACTCTATTGCTTGGAAAGAGTTTGACAAAATATATCCTGATTTTGCTCGAGACCCACGAAATGTTAGATTGGGCCTTGCAACTGATGGGTTTAATCCTTTTTCGGATATGAGCAAGCCTTATAGTATGTGGCCAGTTGTTTTGTTTCCGTATAATTTGCCCCCATGGAAATGTATGAAAAAGTCATTCTCTTTTCTCACCTTGTTAATTCCTGGACCCAATGCACCTGGAAATGAGATTGATGTATATTTGCGTCCATTAATAGATGAGCTTAAGGAATTATGGGAAAGTGGCGTTCAAACTTATGATAAGATGGCTGCATGTACTTTTAATTTGCGTGCAGCTGTGATATGGACCATCAATGATTTTCCTGCTTATGGAAATTTATCAGGTTGGAGCACTCACGGTAAGTTGGCATGTCCAGTATGTAATGAGGATGGATCGTACACTAAGCTGAGAAGTAAGTATTGTCATATTGGACACCGTCGTTATTTACCAATGAATCATTCATGGCGGAAGAATACTGCACTCTTTAATGGTCGTCGAGAGATGAGAAATCGTCCGAGAGATTTCTCAGGCGAGGACATACTTGATCAATTAGATTATATTGTTCCTCGCACGTTTGGTAAGCATCGTGATAATAAAGACAAGAAGAGGAAGCGGAATGCTGAAGAATTAAACTGGACAAGGAAGAGTATTTTTTTCGAGTTGGAATATTGGTCGAAATTGAAGATTAGGCATAATCTTGATGTAATGCACATTGAGAAGAACATATTTGATATTTTGATTGGGACATTGTTGAATACGGAGAAATCAAAGGACACACTCAAGGCGAGGATGGATTTAAAAGACATGAATATCAGGGAAAGTTTGCAATTGGAATTGAATGAAAATAATAAATTGGATAAGCCACCAGCTCAGTATGTATTCAAGCCTTCCGAGCGTAAAGATTTTTTGCAATGGTTGCAATCAATTAAATTTCCTGATGGTTATGCATCTAGTATTTCACGAAATGTGCATGTAAATGAAGGAAAAGTTCTGGGTTTAAAGAGCCATGATTGTCATGTGCTGATGCAACGTGTACTTCCCGTGGGTATTCGGAAACATTTGAAAAGGCAGATATATGAACCCATTGTTGAGTTGTCAAATTTCTTCCAACAAATATGTGCAAAGACAGTTACTTTTGCTGATCTTGATAAGTTGGAAGAAGACATTGTGCTCATATTGTGCAAACTAGAAAAAATCTTCCCGCCTGCTTTCTTCGTTCCCATGGTTCATTTAACTGTGCATTTGCCACGAGAAGCTAAATTAGCAGGACCAGTTGGATGTCGCTGGATGTATCCTGTAGAAAGGTAATGTGTCATCATGTTTGCTTTAGTTTAATTTAGTTTGTTTTTCTACATAGTAACAATACTTTAACTTTTAGATTGTTAGGCACGTACAAGAAATCTGTCCGTAACAAAGCTCGACCTGAAGGCTCTATTGTGGAAGCGCACATGGCATACGAATCTTCAACATTTTGCTCCATGTATCTATGTGATGTTGAGACGGAATTCACCCGACTAGAAAGAAACAATGATGGTGATGATACCAATGCACTCATTTCTGTTTTTGCTCAAAAAGCACGTCCAATTGGAGGTCATTTAATGGTTGAACTTTCGAGGAAAGATATAGAAATGGCTTATTGGTATATCTTAGACAATTGTGACGAAATTGAAGACTTCAGAAAGTATGTGATTTTAATAGTTCAAGATTCACTTATGATATTTGCAATTCCATTATTTTAACTAATATTTTTTATATTCATGTAGTGAGCATATCCAACTTTTGGAAAGAGAGAATCATACTAATGTAGAACAGAGGCATAGACAATTGTTTCCAGAATGGTTTAGGCAGCAAGTCAGGTCATTGTATTTTCAAGAACCTAGATTGGTAAGTGAAGAAATTTTTTCATTAGCCCAAGGTCCTGATCGACGCACTATCCAATACACAGGGTGTATTGTGAACGGCATACGATATTTGGTCACACTTGTTGATCAAAACCGCACAACACAGAATAGTGGGTTAATGACATATGGATCACATAATGGTGAACCGTGTAACTTTTATGGCAGCTTAGTTAATGTCATTAAAGTTCAATTTACAAGAGGTTTTAAGGTAATTCTTTTCAAATGTCATTGGTACAATACGGATACCAAAGGAAAAAAGATTATTCGGGATTTTCATCTTACATCGGTGAATGTAAACAATCGATGGTATGATAGTGATCCATATGTGTTAGCTACACAAGCACAACAAGTATTTTATATTGACGATTTAAAGTTGGGTCATCCTTGGAAAGTTGTGCAGAAGATTCAACATAGGCATGTTTGGGATGTTCTTGAGAAAGATGATGATGATGATGATAATGATGACGAAAATGACGAAGATGATGATGAGTATGAGTGTGAAAGTGATAATTCAATACGGCCGGTTCAAGATGACAATGATGAAGGTGCTATATCATTATGCAGAGAAGACATTGATCCAGAATCAATTGATGTTGACGAAGAGATTCGAAGAATGCTTGGTGTAATGGGGCAACAAATGGATGAGGCAGAGACGGAGACAGATAAGGATGAGGAATGGGAGAAAGATGAGGAGGAGGAGGATGAGGAGGATGAGGAATTGTTATTTGGAAACAATGAAGATGGTGAAACAACTGATACATATAGTGATTATGATTAATGATTTTGGTGAGTTTCATGCATGATACGTTAATTTTAATTTTCTAAAATAAAAAGGTTTGTATGCTATGCTTATAATGTAGGATTATTTTGTGATGTTATTATGTTTTAACTTGTGTCTTTTCTTTATTTAGATGGCAGCTCTAACACAAAGAGGAAAGAGGGTGAAGAGGGTGACAAATCGCACACCACCTCCTCCAAATGATGCACCTGTACCACCAGCTCCACCACCACCACCACGACCCCTATCACCATCACAATCACTTGAAGAACTAGCAAACAATAACCCGGGTATAAAAATACTAAATGACAACTCTTTATAAATATTTATCTTAGTAAAGTTGTCACAAATCTTGCCAAAGTAATGTATTTTTTGTTTGACAATCTGCATTATTAGCTCCAATACCGCGAGGAAAAAGGGTGAAAATGGTGAGGGATCGCACACCACCTCCTCCAAATGATGCACCTGTACCACTAGCTCCACCACCCCGACCACCATCACCTGAAGAATTAGTAAACAATAACCTAGGTATAAAAAAACTAAATGACAACTCTTTATAAATATTTATCTTAGTAAAGTTGTCACAAATCTTGCCAAAGTAATGTATTTTTTGTTCGACTATTTGCATTATCAGCACCAATGCAGCGAGGAAAGAGGGTGAAAATGGTGAGGGATCGTACACCACCTCCTCCAAATGATGCACCTGTACCACCACCACCACCACGACCCTCATCACCATTACAATCACCTGAAGAACTAGCAAACAATAACCCAGGTATTAAAATTCTAAATGACAACACTTTATAAATATTTATTATAGTAATAATGTTGTAAATATGGTCAAAGTAATGTTCCTTTGAATTAGATAACAGGGCATCTATATATCATATACAACTGTACAATCATTCATCATGATAAGACATAAGAATTAGATAATAGGGCATCTACATATGTATATATCATGTACAAGTATACAATCAGATAATCAAACTAACATCAATGTACCTATGGATGTAATTATGTTTATGAATGAAATAGCTAGGACGGTTTCCCCACTATAAAATCTAGCTTTATTGAATTTCAAGGTTTGTATATTGATCATGATCTTTACAAGAGAAAGAGCAAAGCTCTTATAAAGAGCCGAAGGACATATTACAAAAATAGTGGACAACAGCCACTACTACCACATGGTTTCTGCCCTACAAAATCGGACACAACAAGGGCTAAACTAATAATAATTACACGTAAGGAGATCCCAGATTTTAGGGAGAGACATTGACAAAAAAAGAGAAGTATGGTTGAACAAGAAGTGAGATGACAAGTTGGAAGGTTGTAGCCATCACTTTAACCCATAACTTAGCTATAGTGATAATTACAACTTGTTGTTCCTGTTTTTTATTGTGCAGCATCACCTATTTTTATTGTGCAGCATCACTTGTTTTTTTATTGTGCAGCATCACCTGTGTAGCATCACTTGTGCAGCATCACTAATACAACCCATACTTGATTTACTTGTGATTTTGATCTATCTCAACAAGCTTCATTTTTTGTCAATGTGTCCTTGTGCATCAATAAGGTCATCATATCCCCACCAGGAAGATATTCCATAATTAGATACAAGTACTCTTCATTCTAGAATGAACAATACAGCTTGACAATGCAATTACTGTCAACCTCAGCAAGTAGATTCCTCTCAACTTTCTCATGTTCCACCTAAACAAAAAAAAAAACACCAATTGTATTAAGCCCAGGGAAGAAAGGTATGAGAGAATGTATACTTGGCCTCTCTGAAGCATCATTGATTTCTTAAGCTTCTTCATTGCATATACGTGACCAGTTGCTTTCTCCTTACAGATTGTAACCTGTATCAAAGAAAGGAATATGTCAGATGTTGTAAGGCATACATAATGCATTAAGGCCACTTTTATTTATCAAGATGAATTATATATGCCAAAAACAGTCAAGATGAGTATATTTGATTGTACAGTTGTACATGATATATACAACTGTACAATGATTCTTATGTCTTATCATGACAACACTTTATAAATATTTGTTTTTCGTTTCCAGAAACAGAGTTTGATTTTTCTGCAAAAAAAAAGACACGTGGAAAGTCATCTGGGAAACGCCTCCATGATATTTTAGAGGCCAATAACGGGAAGAAGATGCCAGTCATCTTTGATTTGAAGCAGCAAGTACCAATTGATGCAAGTGTGTCAGCTTTTTTTACGTCTGAAATAGGGATTCTTGTTCGAAGTGATGCACCGGTGTGCTACAAGAGATGGATGAAGGTTCCAGCTATGGCTAAGGAAAAATTGCGGGAGTCATTGCTAGTGAGTTTGACTTTACTTCAACTTAGTTATAATAATTTCAACCACTCATCTATTTATATTTTATTTTGATTTTAGATACTGTTTGAGGTAGACTTGTGCAATTCGAAGATTCTTGCTTATGTGAATAAGAAGATGGGGAAGTTGTACTCCCAGTTTAGGTTTCGGTTGCATGAGCACTACTTATCATGTGAAACACCGGCGAGAGGACGAGCTAAGCTGCCTGAGAAGTCATTATGGAATGAGAGACCAGTGAGTCACTGGCACTGGTTGTGTGATAATATTTACACCAGTGAAGTCTTTTTGGTATGTTTCTGTAGAACATTTTCTTATTTATGTTATCTTGCTGCAACACTTTGCCATGTTTCTTATTTATGCTTTTTGGTATGTTTCTGTAGAACATTTTCTTTATTTTTTTTAAAAAAAAATTCCTACAAATCATAGTCTACAATATGATTTCTTACTATATTAAAAGAGATCAACACATGATCTTCTTAGAAATGTAAAGAAAATAATAAAAACAAAAGAAATCCACTACCTCAAATTCACATTGTGGTAATTAAATTCTTTTAACGTACTTAGAAAGTGACCTAGGACTATTATAAACCTTTTTAGTAATTTCAATGACTTTTCAACTCCATGTCAGTTTGAGATCAAATTTTTATATTACAATTTACACATTGCAAATCATGCCATATATTCGTGAACCTGACCCAAAGTGTGATGTGATGATAAATACTTTAGAACCACTCATGGATTCAAGGTGTTTCATTTTCCTCTTATGTATAATGTTGCTACAAGTAATCCTCATAATGGCATTCAAATGTAGGATGTTTCCAAGAAAAATGCTGATAATCGAAAGAAACAAAAGTATCATCACAAGGGAGGGGCAAGGCCATTCATCCAACATGCTAGGAATGCTCACAAGGTAATGAAATTAAATTACATATAAAATTTAGTGTGTAATTTTGATATGCTCATGTTTGGATATATTTTGTTTTGAATATGAGGAGTAGAAAGGAGAACCATTTTCTATGATTGACAATTGGGGGGCTCTCCACAAAAACAAGAACGGCCAATGGATAAATGATATTGCTCAAGAGAAATATGTAAGTCACTTTTGTGTATGAATGTGGTATTTAGCAATTGATCAATATTGAATTCACATTTGTGTATGGTGTTCATTGCTATAAAAATGATGTTACAAGGTGACAAGTAAATATAACATAAACTAACATTATTATTGTTAATTATAAGTGATATTACTACTCTAAGAGTTATAAGGTATGACAAATTTTCACTTGAACTATGTTTACCATTTGGTTTCTTTTCAGCCATTGAGCAATTAACGCTCCATCTTTTCCCCTAGAAAGCAAAAGCACCAAAAGAAGTTGAATTCTTTACATATTACTATTGTTTATATATTACTTATTTAGCAATTGATGAATATTGAATTCACTGTTTTAGTATTATTGGTGCTATTTGTTATGTAAGGATAAGATGAAAAAAAAGAAGGATGAAGTTATGGAGAAATTGATCCAAGAAGCACCAGATGATACTCCACCAGATTCTCTACAAGTTCCATTGGATGATGAGTTTGGCATCATGGCTGAGAACCTTGGGAGGAAGGGAAAATCTGTTAATGGTGTAGGTATTTTTCCTCGTATGGATACATCTGATTATGTTTCTTCAATGCCTTCAAGTTCTGAGTTAACAGAGATGAAAGATCAAATAAATCTTCTATCAACTAGTTTCATCAACTTGGAAAAGGAGAATAAAGAGTTGAAAAAGAAGAATGATATTCTCATATTACAAGTGAAAGCTCTTTTAGCAAAGAAGTGTCAAGGCATCAACAATTCTATAGGTACTGATGATGATCTTTCAGATGTCGATGGTGCATATGCTGAAATGGAAGACCTTGGTACGGATGAAGACTGATTTATATTACAAAGTCTTTTATTGTTATCTAGTTTTAGTCATGCACATGGTAAAACTTTTTGGTTAGCTCCTCAGTGTGTTAGATTTCTCTTTTGTTAGCATCCCAACATGTATAGAGAAGTTGGTACCCTTCATGATGAACTTACTGTTATCTAGCTTTAGTCATGCACATGGTAGAACTTTTTTGGTTAGCTCCTCAGTGTCTTAGATTTCTCTTTTGTTAGCATCCCAACATGTATAGAGGAGTTGGTGCCCTTCATGATGAATTGCCATTGAGCTGAGATGGGACACTAAAATTTAGATTTTTTTGGGATTTTTATGTGAGTATATGAAATGTACTTGATGTATGTGCCTAAGTAGTTTATTAATGAAAATGCAATTAACCGAAGCATTACCTTATATTTGACATGAATTGTAATTCTATTTTATAAACAGGGAATTGTAATTTCACATTATAAACAGGGAATATGTATTGGTCTATCACATATATTTCCAAAATATATATTTTATTTTGACATAAATGACCCAGGCTACGTCACAAATGGAAGAAAAATGTGACGCTTTCAGCGTCACTTATCTATTTCATAAGTGACGAATTATCTAGGTCACATAATTTATTCTTTTTTATAAACAATGAATTGTAATATCAGATTATAAACAGGGAATATGTATTGGTTTGTCACATATATTTCCTAAATAGATATTTTATTTTGACATAAGTGACCCAGGGTG